CCGTGATATATATACATGTACATACTAAAACCATTGAAAAACGAAATTATTCTTTTAACTTTTACTTTGCTTTTGCGCTACGCGTTTCACCGCTGTTGCGGCTATTCAGGCATAGCAAAGTGTGTTTATTGACTTGTTACGTAAGTAAAAGTTAAAAGTGAATCTTTCATTTTCATTGGTTTTAGTATCTTCATTCGACACAGAAGTTTACAGTTTCTTTATATTACATGTATATATGTATATATATATAAATATTATGGGAGGAAAAAACGACGCAACTACATATCCCGACAAGCCTGTTTCGTGAATCGCTTCACTCTTCAGCGATTCACGAAACAGGCTTGTCGGGATATGTAGTTGCGTCGTTTTTTACTCTCATAATATTTATTCTGCTCTGCTTCAACGTATTGAGCACTGTTCCACGCGAAAATCGACTTGCAGACTTCCTATGTATATATATATATATATATATATATATATATATATATATATTTATAGACTCGGTTCAACAGTAAAGGGTATTTTAATGGTAACAATTTACTTTTAAGAAGATTGTAAGCGACTGTTATTTGTTAGTGTTAGCATTGTGTCAAAATGAGAAACTTATAATTCTATTGAGCTTGAGGTAACAGTTGGTGCTAAATCACAAAATATTCCTTGTAATTACATTTAAAAGGTGCCTTCGAAAAATTTTCAGACAAGGCGAAACATTTTGAAATTGTTATAGTTATAAAATTTATTGGACGACGATTGATAGTTCTTAAGGCTAACTTAAGATGATTTAAAGTGGACATGAAGGAGATCTTTGTCAGATTAAAATAATATTGACCCGCTCGATACGATCTTTTAGATGCGTTGAAACTATAATCAATTTTTTGAATGTGAAGAACATCATTGTAATTTTACATTATTCTAGAGGGAAGTATTCATTTGACATGCATGTGGTGTAAAATCGATCACTTATTAAAACCTCAATTTGTGAAATTGCTGTCTGATGCAGTTTTCTTTCTTTTTCACCGCTCCAACGGGAGTTAGGCGCTTTTTAGGCGGGTATAGAAAACTGCGAGGAAAGCGCAAGGTGCGCCGGTGACGTGAAAGACGAGGAGCTCATTCTCTTGCCTGTGTCTTGCCTGGAGTGATGGCCGATTAAACAACGGATAACTCCTTTAATCCTGATCAAGCACGCATGTCACAAGACCAACTAAACATCATTCTTAGCGAATCTTAATTACTTAGAAGTATGACCAAATGTCTCTTTAAGGGAATCACTACATCATCCCTTGTAGTATCTTTGCATTCATCTCGCGTGTGCCTTCGCCTTAAAAATGGAGAAATAAAGACACCTGCCATGCAAACCGATGTATGAACTCACTGTTGGAAGTAAACTAATATTGAAAAGACACGGATCTTTATATTCTAGACCAACCTACCCGCGGTGCTAGAGCAGCTGCATAAGAAAGGAAAAAACGATTTGTCTTTTGCACAAAAATTAATTCAATGGTGGAAGATTTTAGACCATGTCAAGGCATGGCATATGATTAAAAAAATCTATGTATTTACTTTTCTGTAACCATTGCACGATATTTTTTCTCTTCGGCAAGTTCCTCAAGTTCACTTTGCTGTGGTCCATCTCTAATATTTTCATGTCATATTTTTACGACAGTAAAATCGCTTGAACAAGGGAAAGCATTTGTAAACTGTATTTCTAAGTTCACGTTTTCTTTGCAAAAGCAGCATGGTGAAAACGTAAAACTCTTATGAGGTGACCCTTATGATTCCAAAATTATTTTTTATTAGATACGAATGAATAGTGAAGTAATGTATGGCAACAGCGCTCGTTCGTCTATTTTGTTGTATCTTTACTGTCAAGGTATTCTGTTGTTGACATATGTTATTTACGATTTTGACTGAAAATTTATGCTTCGACAAGAAGAGTAAAGAACAACAAGCAAAAAAACATCAGATGACAAGGCGTTTGAGTAAAAAAAGAAAAACCTCTTCAATCAGAAGATTTTTAGTGGTCAAAGAGAGTTATAATTTTGCACATTATTCTCAGTTAAGTGAGATGTTTATTTCGGTTACCCCTCTAAGAATATGGTTGCAAAAATTTCAGCATCCTCATCGGTTGAGAACACGTCAATGTAACTTAAACAGTACAAAAAGTTGAAAACGTTCTAAGATAAAAATACTCAACAAAGTCGGGTGAGTGTTAGGCTTCCCATAAAGGCCATGAAAAAAGTATTAAAACGTAGGTGTCAGCTTATACCGCAAACATAAATTAGTTAATTATCATAGAGGTTTCAACATTAATTCGGAGACGCTTATTTTACATTTCAGACTCAACACAAAACATGTGAAATGAAAATAATATTTTAATAGTAATGATCAAAATAAAACAGCTGTTCACACTCCGTGATTCACATTTTGAATACTATATTTACATTCTCGGATTAAAATAACTGCGAAAAATGAAGCTTCGGCCTAGACAAAAGATTGCGAGATGGTTATTTGACCGGATTTAGACGGTTTTAGGGTTCTGCAGGGTACCATTTTTCAAATACCTACCCTAAATTCTGGCATGCGCAATGCACAGAGTATAGGATTTGTTAGCGAGTTGGCCAAGAATAATGTTAGTGTGGCGCAAGAAATTTACAGATGTAAGGAAAATTTTGGAACGGCAATGATATGAATATAGACCATACCTTCGTCAATAGCTATTGGTAGAAAGGTTAATAATGATGAACAAGTAACAAGACACAATGTCCTCGTCAGTTTTCTTTCCCTCAGACCGGCTGCATCATGATGTCGAAAAAGACGATCACGATGAACTTTGATATAAATTGAAATATAACAAATACAAATGAAAACAATAAGAAAGAGAAAAGAAGAATAAACCATAATAAGATTTAACTTCCAATCGGTTATTTCTTGTATTGTACCCCTACATATTATTTTTCATAAATGGATAAAAGCTATAACCAGTCTATAAACCCATTTCTTGATGAAACGATGCTTCAAAGGGCGATATGTTGCGTGTGCGTATTCCAACGAAAATGAACGCGACATTAACAAGATGTGCAAAGAGGGAAAAAAGGACGTATTGCTAAACTTACTCTGGTATATCCCAACTCTTCTCGAAACACCAAGCCACGAATAAAATAATCTGCATCGGCCCTGATACAGCCTCGACTAACATATCAACTGTGGCCAGATGAATGATCAAGTATGTACTTCGGCGCTGGGGCTGGCGCTGTTACGTATTGTCTAAAAAGAAAAAAGAATACAAACTTGTTATCTTTATTTATTTGTTATCTTTATGAATTAACTCGTTTCTTTAATTTTCTATCATGAATTCGGCGTTAAGCAGTTGTTAAGTTATTTAGACTGTTAGCTTCACGAGGTTAACTATGGTTAGTTTTTATGTTCAATTCTTCCATGGTGATTGTACTTATAAACAGCGTCGAATTTTCATCCTCCGTACTGAATTTGTAACCAAACTCTTTTGTCCGAGGAGCACGACCCTCGACGATAATTTATGAAAAAGGGCGGTACCTTAGATACAACCTTCTTTTCCATCTTTTCTATTTATCCTTTTGTTATATAACAACCGTGAAGCGGCGATTTCGAGATCCTTCGATTCAGTTTGCCTACGAAATGCGTGATGGCTAAGTTGAATGAATCAATAGAACAGGTGGACAGGAAGAGGACGGTAATTAATTATATCAATACATCAAACGACTTCTTACCTTACAGCTGCAGAACATATTGTAGCCCAGTTTCCTTCAAGAAAATATCTTAAAATAGCTTCAAATCGTTCTTTTGCTTGGGGGGAATAAGTTAATTTAAAGGTCAATCCTACAGTTACGCTTTAAATTTTGTGATTCTACTTTTTATGAAATTACAAGCCATGGAAACATCAACAGAATCAGATGAAAGGAACTTTTGCAATGCTTACTTTCCAATTACCTCGCGCTTCCTTTTATGTTTTGAATTTCATTAATTTTTTTTTACCCTAGATGTCTTACATCTTTAACTATTCTTGCTGTTATTCCGCTCACAACTCGGTCTTTTTGGAAACCAAGAAGATGAAACTTATGATTTTATCTCGGAGGAACTGAACGATTTTCTGACATATAACTAAGGACAAAGCATTTTCATGTCACAGCACTCAGACACTCTCCATTAACACTGGCTTCAGTAAAGGGGGACGATAACCTTCGCTCAAACTTGATGGGCAGAGATGAATTCAAAACTAAGTCGAAATATGAAATTAAACATGCATCTATTATGATACGCAATTTGTATAAATTGTAAAAAATGAGAATTAAAAGAGAAAAGTAAGGAAAATTTCAACGCAAATACGGTTTTAAGCCGTATACTGAAATTTTGCTGAGCTAGCGTGATCTGGAAATGATTTTAAAACAGCATAGCTTTCGTAAATAACGACAAAAAATCTGTTGCTAAATCTCTTGGAGTTTCGGCTAAACAAAAGTTTTAAGTCACCAAAGGACTCAGTTGTTATAATTAAGCCTGCGTTGTTATGGAGTTTGCCAAATACGGGTATGTTTTAGATTAATTGTGTCAATAAAAAATTGCCACTTTAGGTTAAGTTCGCTCATCATATGGTATCCGTTTTAACTGGGGTCTCCAGTTGACGCAATATTCCAGTCTTAGAAAAAGTATGTTTTTTTTGTTGTCGTTTATAGGACTGGATACCGCTTTTTCCGCCAACTTGCTGTTGATCATTTACATTGATAATAATGCACCCGATCCTTGTGGTCCCGCTCGTTGTTTGTCTCTTTGTTCTGAAATATATTTTAACTTGTGGTTTACCATTACAAGTCAGGCTAAACACAAAACATGTGTAACGACAAATAGTATTTTAATATGGATAATGAAAATTACGGCTGTACAGATTCTTTGACTAGCTAAACCATTTTTAATATTTTATTTACATTTTCTGATCAAGACTATCGCAAAAAATGAAGCGTCGGCCTGAACTAAAGATTGCGAAGTGGATATTCGACCGGATTTCGATGGTCTTGGGGCGTCCTACGGTATATCAACTTTGATATACCTACCCTAAATTCTGGCATCCGCACTGCATAAAGAATAGGATTTATTAGCGAGTTGGCCAAGAATAATGTTAGTATAGTGCCACCAATTTGCAGATAAGTGGACCAGTTTGGAATGGACATGACATGAAGGAAAATCATACTTTCCCAAATAGTAAGTGGTAGAAAAGTTAATAATGACGCAGAGGTGACAAGAAACGATGTACTCGTCAGTTTTCTTTCCCTCAGGCCGGCTGCACCATGAAGTTGATGTTGATGACTACAACGAACTTTGATATAAATGGAAATGTAACATAGGCACACGAGAACCAGAAGAATGAAATAAGAACAATAAACCCAAATTACGTTTAATGGCCAATCGGTTACTATTTCTATTGTACCTTTGCATATTGTTGATAAATATATAAAAGCTATAACTAGTCCATACACCCATTTCTTGATTAAACGATGCTTAAAAGGGCGATATGTTGCGTGTACTCGTTCCAGCGAAATGAACGCAAGATTGACAAGGGATGCAAAGGGGAAAAAGGGACGTATTGCTAAACTTATTCTTGAAAACGTTATATCCCAAATCTTCCCGTAACACTCAGCCATGATTGCATAAACCTGCATCGGCCCTGATATGGCCCCGACTAACAAATCAGCTATGGCAAGGTGGATAATCAAGTATGTACTCTTCCTCTGTAGCTGGCGCTGCTTCACAAATACAATAATGGTGGTGATGTTGAGGATGACTATGGCCAGACATTCAATGCTGAGCACAGCAAACCACGGAATACAGGAAGAGGTTGAAAGCGACCTCTGGTGCTTGAGGCTCGTGATATTGTGAGAAGCTACACAAGAGTTGGAAGCCATCGACTTCCACTAAGATTGGTTTACCGCAGACCAAATAATCTAAATATGAATGAAAACATAACAGTCTACAGAAAGCAAAAAATAGTAACGATATTCCAGGACAAGGACTATTGTTGATGGTCTTTCTACTTGATGGACTATGGATGTATGTCATACTAGTAAGCGGCGAAAGACAAAGAGTTTAAATCATTTTCAAAACAATTCAGCGTCCTCTTGTTACCTAATCAAAAAAATGGGGAAAATTAAATAAATTTAGCTCAACAAATTTCCTCGAAACGCATCACCCCGGAATTTTACTTAACTTAATCTTCATTATCAACAATTTTAAACATTAAGTTCCGTCGGCTTACCTTGACTGAACAACTAGTTATTCTTGGAGAAAAGAAAACTACCACTTGTAACTTTAAATAATCACTGAGCGTGGAGTGAAACTGTAGCAGTGCCTTGCTATAACATTGAGAGATGAAAATTCCTAGTAACGAGCCGACTCGACTAAATAACATAAATAATATGTTTAAAAAGAAAAAAGAAATGCATGCAAAATACGGTCATTCATGATTTCTCAAATTGTATTACAAGAGGCATACCACAAGAAATCTTAAGGATAGAAAGTTATCATCAGCGGCAACACTCAAAGGTAAAGGAAGAGAAGACTCCGGCCAAGCTTAGCTACCTCAGCTGAAATCACCCGTCGAAATCCTTCAATTTATATAGTATTCCTACGTGATGGCTAAGTTGAATGAATCAGTAGGACAGGTAGACAGGAAGAGGAAGTAAATGAAATATGTTCATACATCAAATGACTTCATACTTTACAGCGGTAGACAACATTTAGCGCCCTTTCCTCCAATAAAATTTCCTGAAATAGAAATCGCTATATCGCCATATTGCCATTTTGTCTGGAGGGAATGAGTTTTTCTTAACGCTGATCCTTAAGCTTTATGGACAAAGCATTCTCAACAAACAATGGTTAAAATTATGACCAATTTACGACTACGGTTAACCCAAGATAACAGAAAATGACACATTGTAGAAAGGAAAGATTTTTACAACCAACGTTTTTTTTTGTTATGACTAACAGTTAAAAGTTGTCAATTTCTACGCCCAGCGGCTAAATGTTTTTTTGCCGGGTTTTTTGCCGTTTTACGGCTAAACGTCAACCCCATTGACACACTCCAACAACCGCCTGTAACACTGGCTACAACGAGGGTGGAAATCTACGTCTGTTCTCGAAAAACGCAGATATGGCTGGAGATAGCGTGGGCGCTATTCCCTTATACCATTTTGTAACTCGACATCCTAAATAGACATCGTGGTGCATTTGGCTCTGAACACGAACACGAACTGAACACGTACGGCCCCACGAACAGTACAGCTTTTATAAAAGACGAAAAAAGTCTCATATAAAACCCCTTCAAGATTATGCTAAACAAAAGGTTTGAATCACTAAAGGACTCAATTTTGTTGATCTGTCTGGGAATTGCCAGTTACGACTATGTTCCATATTAAGTGTGTCAAGAAAAAATGGCGACTTTGGCTTAATATGTTCGTTTAACATTGGGTGTCCGTTTGATTGGGGTCTGCTTGATATACTGTTCCAGTCTTAACACAAATTGAGGATTAAAACGGAAGTGGATATGCCAGGTGCAGTTTATCTTTGCACTATGATGATATTTCACAGTTTTTTTTACTTGCTAACAGAGGGCATTCACGGGTTCATGCGTGCAATTTACTAAGATTGACTAAAACCCTCCTAAGGGTGAATTGATTGTCACGCAAAAGAATAGATTTACAAGCGCGCACATATTCAACTGTTTTAGGAATTGAAATACACGCATAGTGTTTTTTTTGGTTCTGTTTTAAGGGTGAAATGTGAGAGTGAATGAAACGACAGAAACAGGATAGCCACGTTATCGAAAAACTGGCACATTGCCCCTAATTTCTCGGAAAAACCAGAGTCTTCACTATATAAGCGACGAAGTATGATAAACTGTGAAAAGGTATGAAATTCTTGACGTGTGATGAATGCGAAGATGAATACAACAAGGAACTATGTGAGTCTATACATTTGTAGTAAACGCTAGTGTATAGACCGTTGCCTTCAATTGAAATTTTGATGGCCAAAAGAGCCAAAAAAAGTGTTGGAAATTTCCCAGGTATATTTCAGAGCCGGGTGAAAGGAATTGACGGCGGTTGTAAACTGACTGACCTCCTCTCTGATAGAGGAGGTAGCGAGGTAGCAGTATAGTACAGTATTATACCGATAAGTCGGTTTCTTGTTCAAACCTGTTATGTGACCCACGCTTCGACATTGGAAAAAAAAAGAACGAAAAAAAAATTATTTATATAACATCATCAGGTGACAAATGGGCTGAGTTATAAAAGCGAAGAACCTCATCGATCAGAGGACTTTTATTGTTCAAAGAGATTGATGGTTTGTTATATCATGCTCTGTTAAGTGTTGAAAGATAAACAAAAATGTTCATCCGGTTACCCCTCAATTGATGTCAAATCTGTCGAAGGAGACAGAGATGTCCTAATTTTGAAATTTCTATTTGACCAGACATCTTCGTGACTTTCTTAATTCATTTCATCGTTTTAGAAAATGACACCACTTAATGTGGATTTGCGTCGTTTGGACCTAGGACTGATCCACGCCCTGTACGTCGCTATGGTTTGTGTGACAGGTGCACGTACCTCAATCCTTTTTCCTTCAAAAGTAAGAAGTTTCCATCCCTGACCAACAATTGTTGTTCACATCAGTCGTTTACCTTACTCGAGGATATCCACGATGCGATTATTGTGTTAGTTTTTTGGCCTCTCGTATCCTTGTTGATGTTATTAGAGTACGTTGGATGTTGAGGTTCTTTACTTCGTCAGATCCATAACGAAAAGAAGCAAGATAAACAGTGATGTTGATAAAGCTGACTTTCTAGTTGAAAATTTAAAATCTACTCAAGACTGATTCATGAAACTCTCTGGGAAGAAAAAATTCGAATTTATTTTGGCAAATCAATTTCCTTTCGCTAGTACTTTTCATCACTCGTCATTTCGAACAGAAGCAGATTCAGTATTTTATTTGTTTAATTGTCTTTTCTTGTTGTTATCCTTGGAAGCCCTTATCCTTTTGATAAAGAAAGAAAGAAAAAAGAAAAAAAAAACACCAAAATGGTCGCCTGCGCAACTGGTGGTTTCGCTAGCCCTTAGAAACATTAATAATCAGAACCAAAAAATGAGTGGCAAAGATTTGAGAAGCTTAGCCCGCAATAAAACATTCAAAGGAACCATATTGGTTCTCACGGCATCGTCTCTTGCCAGCGTTCAAACTCTTTAACTGACACACGAAACGTAATTTCTTGGTATCCAGAACTTTGCTATTATATTTTCCACATCATATCCTTTTTCTCTTCTCTTCAGGTCACTCAGTTGGTGGTGGCTGGGTCGATTGAAACTCAATGGCTTCAAGTCTCAAGAATAGTGCCTATAATGACGCGATCCAAAAGTAAAGGAAGCCGCTTTCTCCATCACAATGTATCCTATTGTTTGCGGTGTTTAGCACTGAGTACCTGACCGTTGTCATCCTCAATCTCCTCACCATTATTGTATTTGTTAAGCAGCGCCAGCTACAGAGCCAGAGAAAATACTTGATCATCCACCAGGCCATTGTAGATCTCTTGGTCGGGTTGGTATACGGGCCTCTGATGATTGAATGGAGCGGAAGCTTCAACTGTGATCTGTGGGAGTACAATAGAAATGATATTACTTTGTTATTTATACTAGAATTAGTCCTAGGGCTACAAGTCTATCAAGTTTCCCTTCTTAACCTCGCTGTTATTTCATTAGAACGAGTACACGCTACATTTCGTCCTTTCGAGCATCGTTTCATCAAGAAATGGGTTTATGGAGTGATGATAATAATCATTTGGTTGTTGCTTAGCGTCATGAGCACGTTCATAATAACTCACTCTGACGACATTTTTGGACTGATTTCTTTCGCATTTTTTTTTATTCTTCTTTTTGTTGTCGTTGTATGTTATATTTCTATCTATCTCAAAGTCCGGTGTAGTCGTCATCCTCAACACCATGGCGCAGCCGGCCTGAGGGCAAGAAAACTGTTTTGTTTTCAAAACTCATTTGTTGCTACCCTTGGGTCGTTAATAACGTTCCTATCGATGATGGTATTCTGGGGTGTTCTGGCTTCTGACTCCAAGCTTCTCTATAACTTTTGCAATCAGTCATTATTTCATTTTGACATGGCAAGAATAATATTTGTGGCTGCCAACTCACTAATAAATCTAATAATCTACGCTATACGGATGCCTGAACTAAGAGCAGGCATATTGCAAATAATTTTCCGCGGGGCTTTAAACCCTGTTTACCCAATCGATATCCCATTTCAAAATATTAAAACATCTATTTAAAGAGTGTTTAAAATGTTCGCAAAGAACAAAAAGTTGGGAGAATTTTTAATCAAATTGATTTTGCCGTCAATGCCGTCCGACTTGTTTTAATTATATAGTGGAAAAAAAGTGGTTAAAAAAGCAATTTTTGTGTCATTATTGAGGCAGATAACACAGACACGAAAAGAGAAAATCACGATCAACGTAGTTTTGAAGTAGCAGCAATTAAAGTGTCGTAGAAGTCTACACAACTGATCATCCACCAGACTGTAGTCAATCTCTTGGTTGGGTTGGCGTACGGGCTTCTGATGACTAGAATGTATTATGAATTAATCGTTTTTGCGTTTTATTTTACCCTTATTTGTTGTACCTCTATCTGTCTTAGAGTCCGTTGCAATCGTCATCCTCGAAACCATGGTGAAGCCGATGTGAAAGAAAGAAAACTGACGGGTACTTTATTTCCTGTCATTTCCGGATCTTTGATTATGTTCCTTCCAGAGATCATTTTATGGGGTTCTTGGGCTTCCAGTCTTTCTAGCTTTCGGAAAGAACTATCAAATGAGCGATTTCGGAACCGTAAAAAAACTGTGCAGTGTGCTT